GAATGGGATCCCACCGTAGGGAGGCACCGAGCCACCGAGGCCCAGCGAACGGCCTCGGCACCCACTAGAGAAATCCTCCGGTACTTTTGGAGTGCGTCTCTGGACCGCTAGCCGTCCCCTAGCGAACGGGGCTCGGGCCTCCACTCGGACTACCCGATAACAGCTCACCGAAAGTGTCCACGCTCGCGCCCATCGAGGGTAGCATGGCACATTCTACCCCTCCTTCTGAGCGAAAGGAAGCGTGAGGGACATGCCCAACGTCAGGGGGACCCCTGACGAACCTCTCGCTCCATGCGGAGGCTAGAGGGCCTCTTTTTGCAACCTCGCCGAGACCCCCACAACCCGAACTTGTGCTTATGGGCTCGGCAAATGCAATAAGAACTGATCACTCAAACGCGAAAGTGGAGAAAGCCCCTGGAGGGTAACTTCACTCCTCCAGAGCTCTGGGGCTACACTCGCCCAGAGTGCTTCGCTGTGCACCCACCGGAACCTCGAAACAAAACCAATTCCTACGGAGCGGGCATAAACCCAGCCTCGACGAACCCTCGGGAGAGTGCACGCACTCACCCCGAGGCTCGAGGGGGCTCTTGTCGGGTACCTTAGAATGGGGTACCCCAAGCAAACATCAAAATAAAGCTAGAAGGTAAGCCATGGGCCCCTCACCTGCCACGACCGAGCCCTCCTCCACCTCGCCTCGAGCCTCGAGCCTCAAGCAGGGGGTCTCAGAACAAACTCTGCCTCATGAGGCTCCCAGTGGTAGGTCTTGGCGGGGGACGCCGAGCCTCGGCAGGGGCGCGTCTCCGCCTCGCCCGAGGCTATCCAGGGAAGGCCTCGGCGGGGTACATTCTCCGTGTCATGAGGCGTCTCGCGCAAGGCCTCGACAAGGAACCTGATCTCCGCCTCGCGCGAGGCCTCATTCTCCGTGTCGCTCGAGGCCGGCTCGTCCGCGGTCCATCGCCCCCCGCCTCGGTCGACCCTCCCAACAACTCGTCATGTCTCATTAATGCTTCAACCACTCCCGCAATCTCAGCCGGACGGTGGTTCAACGCCACAGCATGGCCGACGCGACCCGAGGTCGCATCAGCACCATGCTCCATATCGGCTGGGACAGGGTACGACGGGGATTACCGGCCACTGTGTCCTACCACTGTGTCCACGATCAGCACCATACCGGCTGGGACAGGGTACGACGGGGATTACCGACCACTGTGTCCAAACGCTGTACCCATGATCGGCCGCCCGCTCAAGGCCTCGGCATTGTACACCGGGGCCTCGGCGATCTTGGGGTTCATGCCTGCCGAGACCCCCCACCAGCAGATGCCCGCCCTCGGCATCGACCAAGTCTCGGCCTCGCGCACAGTCCGTCCACAGTGGCTTGCACGGTCGCCGCCGTGACCACTCCGAGGCATTCCCGGGGCTCCCACGACGCACAGGATCTGATGGGATGACCACGCCGCCCCAGTACTCCAAGGATGGACCACTCCGACGGCCACACCGCCACAGGAACAGGCTACAGGGCCCGGACACGCCGCCTCTGTTCACACGACGCCGTATAGTCAGCTCATGTACCACCCTAGTCCTCCCTTCATGCTATAAAAGGAGAGGACCTAGGTTGTTTTAAGGGGGAGGGGACACCTTGTAACACACACACACACTCCTACCGCCGGAGAGCAACGTCTCAAGTGGCCCGCACGGCACCCTGCCGAGACCTAGGACCATCTCCTTCTCTCCTTTAGCTTGTAACCTCCTACTACGAGCACCTCGGTGCAAGGAATACAAGATCGATCTCTCAGACTGGAAGTAGGGCCTCGATTGCCTGAACCAATATAAACCTTGTGTCTCTTTGCATCATCATCCGGATCGGGAGCACGCAGAACAAATTCACTAGTTGGTTGAGGACCCCCTGGTCCGAAACATCGACACATATGTTGCTCACACAGATGTACTTGTGGACTAATCACCTGTATATCTCACTCAAACGCATATTAATACATCTAAGGTTGTCACTCAATTACCAAAACCAAGCAAGGACCTTTCAGCCGGCTAATCGAAACAAGTGCAAAATTAAAACTATCGATCTAGCCAAGACTACACCCCTTTATCTAAGTTATCAAGCACCTTACAAAGATCTTAATTAGACAACAAAGGTGTCGGGCTAGCTAGAGCTCACCTAACAATTCTAACTTTTAAGGTCACACAAATATATGCAACTAGTACTTCATGCAACGGGGGAGCTCCTATACAATTCTAGTAAGCAAAAGCACAAAACTCGTAAGCTCACTAGCAATACTCAATAACAAGGCTACACAAGCCAAATTAGAGAGCAAAAAATACTTAGCTACACAAACTAAGCAATGTAACTAACTAGATTACTAAAATCAAATTAGTTACGCAAGGGAGCTACTTCTATGCTACACAAGCACGAAGGTAACCAGTAAGCTACACAAGCTAACTAATTACAAGAGCAACTACACAAGCACAATATATATGAAAGTAAATACAAGCTTGTGTATGGGGGTTGCAAACCAACGGGAAGAGGATGACATGGTGATTTTTATCTCGAGGTTCACGTGCTTGCCAACACGCTAGTCCCCGTTGTGTCGACCGCTCACTTGGTGGTTTGGCGGCTAATTGGCATCACCCACCAAGCTTGCACGTCGGGCACCACAAGAATCTACCCCAAAAGTGAGGGTAGCTCAATGACACGCTATACTAGAGTTGCTCTTCGCGATCCCCGCAGGGTGAGTACAAATCCTCCTCTGGAGCACCGTACAATCTTCTCGCGTGCTTCAACGGAGTCACAAGCCATCTAGGAGGTGGCAACCTTCAAGAATAACAAGCACCACCGGCTTGCAACTCGATCACCTAGAGCCTCTCGATGCAACCTCACGATGCAATCGCACTAGAATCACTCACTCACTCGATCGGACGAACATTACCAAGCATGAGTGAGTTAGAGAGCTCCCAAGCACCACCACATAAGCCACCAAGGCTCTAGTGTGCTCAACAACCAGCCCAAGGCCGGCTAGTGCTTGGTTTTATAGCCCCCAAGCGAATAGAGCGGTTGTACCTCTTCACTGGGCACAAAACGTGACCGTCGGACTCAGCTGGCACGGGTCCGACGCCCCTTTTTCAACTCCTTCACTTCTCAAACTTCGCCACCCTTGATCAAATGTGCCAACCACCAAGTGTATCACCTTATGCATGTGTGTTAGCATATTTTCATAAATATTTTCACATGCACCAACCTTATCAACAAATGATATGATCCACTTCATATCATCACGTGACCTTGTTGGTTCATCAATCTTGACCTCACTCGCTCTTCACCGTTGCCTTCGTCCATCGGCGCCAAGTCTTTCTCAAGCTTCACCGCCACGCGGTCCATCGCTCCAAAGCCTCCAACTTGCCCTTCACGCTTGCAACCGGTCCATCAAGTCAAGTCTTGTCTTAATCTTCTTTACCTTAGTCACATGATTCCATGTGATGTCTCATATGCAATGAGCTCCTTCATCACTTGTGTGAGCCTTGCACTATATCCAAGCCATTTCACCTCTATGGCATAGGTTGCTCACACATGATGTACTTGTGGACTAATCATTTGTGTACCTTACTCAAACACATATTAGTCCACCTAAGGTTAACACTCAATTACCATAAATAAACAAGGACCTTTCAGTGGTCTAGTGGTAGAGCAGCTGAGTGACCAAGTTCATATGTTGTACCATTAGACCATTAAGTTTTATATGTTTTATAAATGATTTTTTGGCTACTATATTATCCATGGTTGAGTGGTTGATTGACCGAGTGATAGAGAGACTGAGTGACCAAGTGTATATAATACCGTCGGTCCATTAATAATGTATACAATCTATATATGTACCTAACATTAAAAAGACAAAATTTCTCGTCACCTATTTTTTTGTCCATCTCTTCCTAACTACTTGCACAGTGGAGAGTTTCCTTCGTATCTCATATGTGATCCGGGTTTATGACCAATACTCATACGAGTTAGGACTCCATCTAGGAATGATGAATACGGAGTCTGATTCTAATATATATTGGGTTGCGCCCAACCGTATCTCGTATGTGAACTAGACTCATGACCTACGTTCATATGAGTTAGAATAACTTACATTTAGCGATATACATAGTTCTATATATTCCTATACGTATTGGATTCTGTTGCAACGCACGGGCATATTTACTAGTCTAATATTAAAAAGGCAAAATTTCTCTCTGTCCATTTTTTTCGTCCACCTCCTCCTACCTAACCAAGCAGCTCTCCGTGTCTCATATGTGACCTGAATTCATGATCCATACTTATATGAGTTATGACAACCTCCGTCTAGCGATGACAAATACGGAGTCCAATTCCAATATATACTCGTCACGCCCTATAGGCCAGTTTGGTTCGCTTCCTATTAGGCACCAACTAGTATATATAAACTCGTATGCATATGCAATATAATCATGTCTTAATTTCCATACCACGTGAATATATTAATTAATTACAAGTTACCTATCATAACCATAAATATGTGTGTGTCGCACACGCATGATGATTACTACTAATCTAGATGTGACGCGTACGTAGTTCATTGTTTTGAGGTTCTCTTTCTACCGTGGCACCAGCTTTTTAGATATCAAAGCATTAAGACATTTCCATTACCTTTCTACGCACATAAAAATACTATAATGGTAAGCACTGTGTACGAGTTTGAATTACCCGTCTACATTCAGGCGATAATTGCAGATGCATGTACAGTGCTCCGGTCACGTACGCCTGGTCTGTGAACATTGCCCACTTTCTAATCAAAATGTGTCAGGCACATCTGGCACAGAGTTTGTGCTGCTGAATTTGGTTCCATGTGCTCAATGCTTTGCTAAAAATAGCAAATGACCTGCGTCCATATAAATTAGAAGTCATTCCCTGTCCATTTGTACCCAGTACCCACCACTGATACTCTCGTCCTAGCTGGTGCAGTTGTCGCACAACAATGGCATCCCCCTCGTTTACGTGTCTACTGCTGCCATTTCTCTTCTCCACCATCCTCCGTTTTCCCGCGCCTGTGCTGTCCTACGTGACCCCTGACACGAGGCTCCACCATGTGCAAAAGGAACCCTCTAAATACCGGGTCCACATAGTGCTCGTCGAGCCGCCCCCCGAAACAGACACCCCACGCCATCACTGGGAATCCTTCTTGCCGACCACCTTGACGGACTCCGGCGAGCAACCCCTGGTGCACTCGTACACGGAGGTGTTCAGCGGGTTCGCCGCGAGGCTGACCGACTCCGAGCTGGACGCGGTGACCAAGAAGCCAGGGTTCGTGCGCGCGTTCCCGGACCGCACGCTGCAGCTCGCGACGACACACACGCCGGCGTTCCTGGGCCTGACGCGCGCGAGGCGCTGTTAGGTTCTGGAACAGCTCAGGGTACGGGAAGGGAGTCATCGTCGGGCGAGCAGCGGCATCCACGTGGCGCACCCTTCCTTCGACGACCACGGCGTCCCACCGCCCCCGGCTCAGTGGAAGGGCGCGTGCGCGCCGGGCTCCGCGGCCCGGTGCAACAACAAGCTCATCGGCGCCAGGTCGTTCGTGGGGTGCGGAGACGACGGCGTCAGCGACGATGCCGGCCACGGGACGCACACGTCGTCCACGGCGGCGGGGAACTTCGTCGATGGCGCGTCACGAGAAGGCCTCGCCGCCGGCACGGCGGCGGGGATCGCTCCCGCCGCGCACGTCGCCATTTACAAGGTGTGCGTCCTGGAGGGGTGCGACAGCTCGGCCATACTCGCTGGACTGGACGCGGCGATCAAGGACGGGGTGGACGTGCTCTCCATCTCGCTAGGCGGCAGCGTGAGCTTCCCGTTCGACCAGGACCCCATCGCCGTCGGCGCGTTCAGCGCGGTGTCCAAGGGCGTCGTCGTGGTGTGCGCCGCCGGCAACAACGGCCCCGCGCCATCGTCCGTCGTCAACGACGCGCCGTGGATCCTCACGGTCGCTGACGGCTCGGTGGACAGTACCCTCGAGGCGGACGTGGAGCTTGTCAACGGCCCCCACGTCGCTGGAGAGGCGCTGACTCAGGTGAATAACTCAAGCAGCCCCAACAAGCAATATCCTCTCTTCTCCTAGCAGCGGCGCCACTGCCTGTACGGTGATGATAGCAGCATCGTCGCTGGCAAGATCCTGGTTTGCGAGGCCACCGACTTGCCGACCGAGATGTCCAACATCCGTGACCTGCTGAGCGCTGGCGCGGCCGGCGTGGTGCTGACTAACTCCAACACCAGTGGCTACACCATAGTCGTCCGGGACTACGGCCCCGGCGTCGTGCAAGTGAGCACCGCCGCTGGAGTCAACATCACGCACTACGCGACGACATCCACAAGGAGAAGGAGTTCCTCTGCCGCCGCCGCCTTCTTCACGTTCAACAGCACCGTGGTCGGTGCCCGTCCGTCCCCAACCGTGGCCTCGTTCTCCGGCAGGGGCTCGAGCGCGGTCACCCCCGGCGTGCTCAAGCCTGACATCCTGGCTCCGGGACTCAACATCCTCGCAGCATGGCCACCAGCACTGGGCGAGACGGAGACCAGCTCCAGTAGCAGCTCCGGCTCCGGGAGGTTCAACATCATATCCGGCACGTCGATGGCGACGCCGCACATCAGCGGCGTCGTGGCGCTCGTCAGGAACGCCCACCCGGACTGGTCGCCAGCGGCCATCAAGTCATCCATCCTCACCACGTCCGACGCGGTTGACACCAACAGCGGGCCCATCTTGGACGAGCAGCATGACAAGGCCGGCGGACACGCGACAGGAGCCGGACATGTGAACCCCACAAGAGCCGCCGACCCCGGCCTGGTCTACGACCTCAGCGTGCCTGAGTATGCCGCCTACCTCTGCGCGCTGCTCGGCGACCGCGCCCAAGCAACCATCGTGCGGAACGCGAGCCTGAGCTGCTCCAAGCTGCCCGAGACGGCCGAGGCGCAGCTGAACTACCCCACCATCACCGTGCCTCTGCAGCCGACGCCGTTCACGGTGAACCGGACGGTGACCAACGTGGGGCCACCGTAATCCACGTACACGGCGAAGGTGGACGTGCCGGGGTCGTTGAAAGTGCAGGTCTCACCGGCGACGTTGGTGTTCTCCAAGGCGGGAGAGAAGAAGACGTTCAGCGTCACGGTGAGCGGCCAGGCAACCGGGGGCCAGGATGTTGTGCAGGGGAGTTTGAGCTGGGCCGGGTGTCTGGGAAACTTGTGGTGCGTAGCCCGGTCCTCGCCGTCGCTGGCCTCAACAGATCCTAGCTTTGCTCTCGTGAACAGTGTTTGTACCGAGAGCACTATGTATGTAATAGTAATAATAGCTTACGTGTGCATGTCATGTGGAACGATTTCAGCAGTAATAACTTACGCGTCTATAGTATCCCATGCACTGTTCTGCGTCACTTCTGTATCGTGCTCTCCTAAAATCTGCTCATCTACTTTTCAGCCGGCTTAATGCTTATTTCGGCTTATTCTTTCTCACAGAAACACTATTGAATCAGCCGAAATACCACCGGCAGAACATGGTGAATGTTCGCACCAAAATTAACCAATCCTGAGTGTTCTAGGAAAACCGACCTAACTGCCTTCTAAAAATTACTTCGCCAAATTACAAAATACTCCTAGATTTCACCATTGTGTTCCTCTATGTGACATCAGATAGAGCTCTGCCAAAATTGGGGAATTGTGTAATTACAATAGTGCTGATACAAAAACCGGAAATCCTGGATGTTCAAGAAAAACCGGAATGGCTGGTTTTCCTTGTGACTTTGTCAAATTCTGAATTGGATTTCATCATTGTGTCTTTTCATCGAGAAAATTGAAGTGCATATATAGAATGTCAATTTGAATCCTAGATGAGAGAATTACGACTTTGGCAAGATAGCCATGGAAACTAGTCAAGTCGATTTTGGTAGTTTATTAAATAGAGTTTGAAGTTGTGTTTGATATGAAAATTATAAAAGTTTCAACTCCTCGGGGCAAAACCTCTCCACCCCATTAGATACTTTGGTATTCCCATGCATGATCACAAGCTTTTGAACAAGGATTGTTTGGTCATTTATAATTTTTTTTAGAAAAAGCTAGGTAGTTGGAAAGGTAAACTCTTATCAGCTGGAGGGAGACTAGTGCTGATTAATTCAGTTTTTAACTAGTCTAGCCATGTACATGCTCTCCTTTCTTTGAAGTCCCCATGGGTGTGTTAAAAAAATTAGACTATTACCGTTCCAAATTCTTTTGGCAATGTCATGAACATAAAAAGAAATATAGATTCACTAAGCGGAGTAATCTTTGTAGGCCTAAAAAATTTGGAGGATTGGGGATCCAAAATTTGGATATCCAAAATAAATGCCTTTGGACCAAATGGTTGTTTAAACTTACTAATGAAAAGGGTGTTTGGCAAAGCCTTATTAAAAGGAAGTAATTGTCCAATAAAACTCTTACCCACAACCAGGGGATTCACAATTTTAGTGTGTCCTTAGGAAGGTCAATGATTAACTCCATGCATGTGGTCATTTCCGTGTTTGTGATGGGCCCCGAACTAGATTTTGATAGGATACTTAGAAAGGTGACAAATCCTTTAGTGGTGCACACCCCACCCTCTATAAAATTGAGAGGAGAAAAGACGCTACAATATCACATATATTAGGCTCTATACCGCCTTGGTTGACTGTAATCTATATGATTGGCTTGATTTGTTGACCAAAATAATTTCATTAAAGCTTACAAGTGGAGATGACTTTTATTTGGGATTTGTGTAACAAGGGTACTTTCACTTCGGGCTAGGTACTTTTTTTTACCGAAAACAGATCACGGAACCGAACTTTCGATCTTTGTTTTTGGCTTTGGTTTTTATCATGGAAAACTTCGGTCACCAGTGTCGGAGTGTCAGCTCCGGTTTCCATGGCTCCTACACCGAAGTAAGGGGTGTTTAGGACAACTCCACTCCACGTTTTTTCAGCTTCGCTCAACGTTTTTAGCAAAATATATATGTTCAACTGCACGCACTCTGCTCGAGGAAAAAAAGTTGGAGTTGTGAGAGCACTCAAAGGGATAATTCACAAACTCTAGGTTTTTTGTGGAGCATCTCTCCACGATGGAATTTAGGTTTTTTTGGAGCTACTTCACGGTAGAATTTGTGTAGCAGAGTTCGTGTATCAATGCCAGACACGCGCCTAACCCAACCCTTGAATTCCGCAATTCCCCGTCCGCATTGGCATTATACTTGGCCATAAGGCCCAAGGCCCGATGGCCCGGCCCATAGCCCGCTCTTTTGGCTCAGCCCAGGCATGGCATAGCCCGGTGGCCGTTAGGCCCAGGCCCGCCCGACCCGACCCTAGGGCCGTGCCTGGGCCACTCCCTCAGACCGTCGTGCCGCCCGGGCCGACCCGATCTGGAGAAGGTCGGTTAAGGCCTTTCGTAGCCACCTTCATCTTAGTATAAAAACTAAACCCTAATTCCTAATCACACCTAGCCGCCGCACCCCGACTCTACTCACACGTAGTGTAACTCCGCGCGCACCCCGCCGCTACCTCCTCACTTTCCTCTGACTCCGTATAACGCTCTGTCTCTCTTCCTTGCTTTTTTCTGCTCTGCACTCAACGGCTAGTGCCTGGCGGCGGTGGCTCCTCTCACGGCGGCGCAGCAGCACCTCCGTTCGATGGCCAGCACCTGGCGGCGGCGAAACAATAGCTCCCTCGATGGCGGTGGCCAGAGCGCTACGTCGATGGCAGCGTAGCAGCTCGCCCCTGGGCCGACCGGCACAACATGCTTTGGCGTGCCAACAAGCCGACACGGCATGACACAAGGCCTTTAGGGCGGTGCCTGGGCCATTGGTGCAGCCCGTGGGCTAGCACGGCATAACACGATAGCCCTCACGAGCCAGACCACCTTCGAGCCGTGCCGTGCCGTGCCGGGCGGCCCGAATGGCCATCTTTTGGCATTCCCGTCCGCTCACCTCAGCCAGCAGGATCCAGTTTCCTCCTTTGCAGCCCCCCAAAGCCTAGTACCGAAGGCCCAAATCAAACAAGCTAGCTAGCCACCTAAAAAAAAAAAAAAAACTATTCGAACCGGCATCCACTCAAAAAAAAAAAAAAAAAAACTATTCGAACCGGCATCCACGAACGCACACATCTCTCAGCCTCGCACCTCTCTCGAGCTGCCGCCGCCCGCCGCCTTCGCCGGCGTCGACGATGAGCGACTATGGCCACGGCGGGGTGCAGATGCGGGGCAACCCGGACTCCCGCCCCAGGGGCCAGGGCCAGCGCCCTCACGTCCAGCAGCTCAAGCTCGTAAGCCACTGATCCCCTCCTCTCTGATTCGTCTCTGATCCGAGGTTTGGTTTCGCTTCGCTCGCAGATGGGGCAGATCCACCCGACGACGGGGCTCACGCCCAACCTGCTCAAGCTCTTTGAACCGCGGCCGCCGCTCGAGTACAAGCCCCCGCTGGAGAAGCGCAAATTGCCGGCCTACACCGGTGAGTCGACGGATCATGGGATTGTCTATCAGATGTTTTCAAGGGTTTGCTCACTGACTGACTGATGTGGCTACTAATTTGGATGCAGGGATGGCACAGTTTGTGTCGCACTTTGCTGAGCGCGAGGATCCAGAGTATGCTCCGCCGGTGCCTAAGTGTGAGACCAGGGTATGTTTTTGTCTATATGCTGAGTGTCCTAAGGTGTGCCTGCTATCATATCTGTACAGTTTTCTCTAATCAGATTTTGTGATTGGGTTTCTGAGGTAGCCGATTATGCTGCAGTGCAAGTGCCCAATTGTATGGTGTGTCATGTATTTTGTTATAATAAAGGATTGCATCTTGTTGAAACAGTAGCTTCCGAAACCAGCTTGTAGCACATGATACTTAGGGCATTACCGGTCAACTTTGGTAGTTGCTTCCGCTACAAAAGCATGCGTGGTTTGATTATGTCCCAGATATTTTAATGTTTTGAGATTTGAGATGATATCATGCATCCAACTGTGTGAAGGCACTGTCACACTTCTTTCTGCTGAGATCACATGGGCCTAAATCATTCTTTCTCCATTTTGGGGCATATCATAACATTGTTCTACGCTTTTACTATTTTATTTTATCTTGTACCAGATTATTATATATGCTCTGTATACAGGCTGAGAAGAAGGCTAGGATTCGCAATAATAAGCTCGAGCAAGGTGCAGCTAAGGTTGCTGAAGAGCTTCAGAAGTGTAAGTTCTTACTTAAGGCATGGTGTCGCTCCAATTCTTTTAAAATGATGGATGTAATAACATCATTGTTCTGATTTGGTTTTATGCAGATGACCCACAAAGTGATCCCAATGCTACTGGAGACCCATACAAAACACTCTTTGTTGCTAGACTTGTAAGTAACTTTGCTTGAAATCATTGGCACATTCCTTAGTCTGTACTCATAAAAATGAGATGGCAAGTTATCTTTGGAACACCAAGATAATTGGCTTTGCCATTGTTGCAGAACTATGAGACGTCTGAGCAGAGGATCAAACGGGAGTTTGAAGGTTATGGTCCTATTAAAAGGGTAAGTAATGTGGTAAATTCCTGTGCAGGTGAAGTTATTGCACTTTGGTAAGGTTTTTTCAGTTATTCTAAAATGCAAACATTCATCGGCCAAAACTGTGGAAAGGTTGCCTCTCATTAGTTTATGGCTTCCTTTTAAGCTCCTCCAACAAGTGTTTGCGACACCAGGGGTCCTTATAATTGCTCTGTGTCTCCATTTCATATCTGGAATCAAAAGTTGCACTTCTTCATTTTCTTTCTGGTTTCTGAAAACTTACTTGGAAATGCTTTCAAAGAAACTGGGAACTCTGTTTCCATTTTCGTAGTCATTTTTGGTAAACTTAGCATCAATGTTTTAATTGAACTTTGGGTTTTTTGGAGCCAACAACTTATTTGCTCTGTTTCATGCACAGGTATTTAGTGTTTGCTCTTGAATGTATCCCATGACAACTTTTTATGGTTTTTGAGCTGTGAATTTGATCATTTCTCTGTACTTCATTTTACTTGAATACTTAATTATGAAATTGGTTATAGAATAAAATATTTTCAGTAGTTTTATACAGTTCAACACAATGATGTAAAATGTTAGCTAGTTAAGGGTATTTAAACATCAGACAAGAAAATTTTAGTGGGGAGGGGGGTGGCGTAAATCTTGTCAGTTGTGTTGTGCTAAACTAAGGAAATATCAATCATCTCTGTGAGCACAGAAGGTCTACAACTCTACAGAGTCTCTTTTTAAGCAATCTTTATACCTTTGGGGGCTTAGATGGAATACATTTCAAATGAAAAATTATATAGGGTTCAGTCATATGTATGCTCGCTGGTAATTTTGTTAGACTTTTGCTCTGAATCATTGGAAAGCCGTTTTAATATGTGCATGGTTGGTATAACCAATTAGTGACAAGGCATCTCTGGGAACACAAATACGCTTAAACAGGTAACTATGTCTGCACCTGTCTATGGGGTTCTCTATTTCCTAGTACTTTTTTGTTGTCATCAAGAAATTTCTTGAGGAGAAGAGCAAATTGCTTCTAACAAAGGTAGCAAATGGTTGAGTTGTTCACTCATTCGACAAATTTGCATCTACCATATTGGTAAGATTGAAAAATGCTGACAGTGGCACAAATTAGCATAGATCACTTTGTATTTTTCAAAAAGCAGCTTGTCTGCAGACAGGGATTTTCTACGGTATGTAGGCTTAATTGGGTAGTTTTGCTGGTGAGTATAGTATTTATAGTTCCTTCAGTTTAGCTATTAACAGATCCGTTGATTTTGTCCATAAGGGGTATACATCACTCACTTGGTATTATCACCTTTCTGTTAACTTTGTTATCATTCTGTTCGTTTGGTAAACGAAGGCTGAACAAATTTCACCGATGGAGGGCAACTTGGTATAGTATTTAGTTCTATTGTACACCCTTTTTCTTTAGTAAAATTCCCTGGTAAGGGGTTATCCAATTTATTTCCCAACGCATGCCAATCAGCCAGACAGCGCTTTTCCTCCAACTGTGTTGATCTGTGCTGGATTTCACTCCTCGTGTCGAAGCTCTACATGTGCAAGGTTAGCATGGCTGTTTTAGGCTTTATGCCTGTCTGTCGTGCACCACTAAAAATTAAAAGAACAGCAAACACAATTACAACTAATAATATATCATATTCTTAAGTTCAGTGGAACTTTCGTATTGAATATTATTTGATTACTATATTTGATCTTTGCAGGTTCGTCTTGTAACTGAGAAAGATACAAGTAAACCTAGAGGATATGCATTCATAGGGTATGTGCACGCACGTGACATGAAAAGTAAGGTTCTCTTTTTTGTTGCAAATTTCCCATTTGGTTTATTTTTGACTCTCCTTATAACTTACATTTTCTCTGCTAACTTGGGTTCTCACCAGATGCTTACAAGCAAGCAGATGGGAGAAAAGTGGACAACAAGAGGGTATTAGTTGATGTTGAGCGTGGTAGAACTGTTCCAAATTGGCGTCCCAGGAGATTGGGTGGTGGGTTGGGATCAAGCAGGATGGGTGGTGCTGATGCTGACAAAAAGGATTCCGCTAGGTACATCTGTTTTCTCATTTTGATCACCTGTAAAAAGTTATTGCTTTTAGAAGGAGGCACTGGAGTCAACTTATCACTAATGCTTATATGTGTTTGCTTTGCTTCTACATGTTTTTGTTCCTTTTGTCTTTGATATGCTTTTCTGTATGAAGCCTTCTGTACCATCTGATACATTGACACGTCATTGTTGATGTTGAAAGTTGCTACATTTATGTTAACACATGTGCATATCTTATTACTAGGGAGCAACAGCATGGTGGACGCCCTAGATCAGAAGAGCCTAGGAGGGATGATCGTCGTGCCGATAGGTAAGCCATGCCAAATTAAAGGGATTGTTGCATTAATGTCATAGTTTTGATGCTTATTAATTGCTTGTTTCTGCAATTATTTTCACTCAAAGGGATCGTGAAAAATCTCGTGAAAGGGTACGTGAAAGAGACCGTGAGGAGAGGACCCGTGAACGCTCACATGACCGGACTCGTGATAGAGATCCACGAGATGAGAAGCATCACCATAGAGACCGTGAGAGGACTCGGGACAGGGAGAGGGGAAAGGACCGCGAAAGAGACCATGGCCGTGACCGTGACCGTGATCGTCGTGACAGGGACAGGGATCGTGGTCGGGACTATGATAGAGAAAGGGACCACGCTCGCTCTCATGATCGCCATCGTGAGAGAGGCAGGGACCGTGGTGAAAGAGATTATGAGCGCACCAGTCATGAACGCGTCCGTGGTCACATGCATGAGAGGGATGCAGACTATGGCAATGGTGGGACAAAGCATGACAAAAATCTGTCTAGTTATGGGCAGGATTATGGCTATGGTCAGTATGAGCAACACAAAGGTCATGACGCATATGGTTATGGTCAAGATGGACGTGGGCATGAAACTGAACACTCAAAGCGGCATGAGCAGGAGTATTATCGTGTTGACTCATATGGTAAAATGGAAGGCAACTATCAGATGCAGCCAAACAATGCTGAACCAGAAGGCCCTGAGGAAGGTGAGGCATACGAGGAAGGCCACTACCAGTATCACCGGGCTGGTGAATCACATGAATGAAGCTTGATTGCAGCGTTGAGATTTGCCTGCAGCTTTATACTGATACAATACAATGATGATTTCAAAGTTGGTTCTTTGTATGAATTAGTTTCAGCTGCATAGTGCCTGTCAGTTTGGGAAATTCTCAAAAGAAAGCAAAAGCATGCCCAATTTTGGAATTTGAAGCCTGTGGCTGCCAATTTCTTGTGGAATAAGATGTTAGTGTAATCTGGTTGTGGAGATTCATATCATTTGCCCTCATCCTTGTACTCTTTTGTTATCTGTTAAAAAGTTTTGTATGACAGATCCTTTAAATTATTTGTTCCAACTTTTTGCAGAACATCAGAAATGCTGTTCCATTTCGTCTTCTAACAAAATGGCACATAATGTATCAATCACAGGGGGAATAAGGTAGCTGAGAGCTGTACAGTCCGGCATTTCTTTTTTTTGCTGACACGTACGCCAAAGAAAAGTCAATAACAATTGCTGCAACCTCTGTTCCCTACACCCTAGCACATAGGTCTCATCAATAAAATCCACTTCTTGATGTTTTGTTGGTTTAATACATTGTTTCTATTATGTATCGTATCTAAGTGAAACCCTATGTATATCTATAAATAAAAGCCACAGTATCTAGTAGGCACCCTATCCAGCCTCCTAAACTCAAATGTGATGGCTTGGGTAAAAAATGTAGCTCTGCTCTACTTAAGCGCTCAAATTAGGGAGTCGTCAAATCTTACCCTCTCTCCTATTCCATCCGGCTTTGTTGGGGTTGTTTCTCACTCGCCGTGGGGCACCCCTTTCCCGCTAGATCTGGCTATACGACCTCTCCTCTCGAGCGAGGGTGAGGTCCCTGGTGTTCGGCCTCTTTTCTCGGGCGAGGGTGAGGTCCTGATGAGGTGGCGTCTCTGGTGTGACCTTGACCGTGTAGCCTCTCCTCCCGAGGTCCTGTCAGGCTGTCATGACAGGCGAGATCTGGTTGGGTCCCCGATATGCGGTCTCTGCTCTTGCGGCTCCTCTCCCTTCACTAGCGCAATGGGCGAGACCCATCTAGGTCTCCGTGCAGCCTCTTCTTCCATCGACATGACAGATGGGCGAGATGTGGGCGGGTCCCATCCTCGTCGCGATGAGCGAGATGCACACGGGTAGCTCAGTCAATAGGAGTGAGGAGAAGGGAATGACCAGTGGGTCCCATGTGTAATTATATTTAAGATGAATTTGAGAGCTTGAGTAGATGTAAAAAAAACATGACCTAAGATTCAAATGAAAAGTAGATGCATTGTTTTGAGGGCTGCTGGTGGAGTTACTCTTTATAATTTAAAATCAAGGGAGTAGAATCTACTCTCTCTTTTTTTGACAACAAACAAATTTTATTTCAACAACATCTAGCTGTTAAGATTGTTACAGAGTTTATGGCTACTGATTATAATGCAGCCATTAGTGGACATTGAGATACATGAGCACTGTTGGAACTGGTAGAAGATAAGTTCAGAGTGGTGGACTCTGAGTCTAAAACAGCCTGTCTAGCTAATGTATCTGCAGTCTGATTGAGGTTGCGACTGATCTTGAAAATCTCTGTTCTTCTTTGCTTGGTATAGTTGACGAAGAGCTGTGTGAAGTGCTTGATTCTCCAATCCGGAGGGTTGGAGTGGTCAGAAGCATCGAAAAATAATACCAGTTCTTGGTTATCTGTTAAAAAGTTTGTATGTTGCAGATGTAACCGTTCAGTGACAGTCGCAGCCAGCGCCAAAGCTGCAGCCTCAGCCATAAGAACTGAGGTTGAATCCAACATCGTGGCTTTGATGTAGATATTCTGTGGTGGCTGAACCTGCATGTTCATAATAAAAACTCCAATTCCGGCTCTCCTGGGCACGGAAGAGGCTGAATCAGGTACGGTGGATGCATCAGTGTAGCATCTTGAGCCTTGTATCTGTCCACCGGCCTCACCGGCGTCGTTCCGTGCCTGTGCGCATGGCAAACTGATGGATTAAGACCTGCAATAGAATTGTTCGTACCTGACGAGTCAGTTGCTATGTTGTTCTGTGGTTGTTGTCCGTTTATATACACTCCTGCGTATATCTGTTCGCGCTGCTATCCTGCCTGATTGAGTAGTACGGTGACCTGCAGGAGTGTATTCTATACCTTGCCTTAGAGTGGTCGTATGATTGTGTGCAACACCTGCTGGGAGGGCATCGTGGTGCAAACATCCATACCTTGGCTTGAATTGATCATGGTACTGTGTGTGACTGCAACAGCGTGTTGTCCCTGTGTGAGTGAGTTTCCTTGATGTTCCTGTTCATCTGATATATGTGCTTCTGAGGTGGCTGTTGTTATATGTGCCGCGACCGCACGGTGTACCTGCCAAATAGTCCAAATTTTTCTTGCAAATCTTTTGTCATTTCTTGCTTTCCAAATATGCCACAGAGTAATTAGTATTTTCTGCAACAAAGTGTTTTCAATTGAATCAGGGATAAAAGTTGAAAGAATCAGCTGGACACCATCATCCTCGTGAGGCAAAGTATGAGTTTGCAAAGGAGGGTGAGCTGAGAACCATACCGCCCGAGCAAAGTCGCAGTGGAAGAAGAGGTGAGCATCATTTTCTACTATGCCACAGTTCGTGCAGTGTTTGTTGATACGAGTTGAATATCTTGCTGCTCGTTCCCCAGTTGCGAGGGCCCTCCTTATGAGCCTCCAAGTGAAAGTTTTGATCAGTGGAGGAAGGTCCTTGAGCTTCCACATTCTCTGTAGTATTTTATTTGCTTGTGGAGTGATGCTCCTAGAGCCTCGCTGGGGTAGTTGTACCTGCATTTGGGAACTTAAGTGGCGATAAATATTCTTAGTGGTACATTCGCCTTTTTTTGCCGGAGACCATCTGAGAGTGTCTTGCTCTTGGCTGTGTACCGTCTTAACCTGTGAAATAATCTGAACACCATTTTGATCAAAGATGTTAGATAAAAGATCCATATTCCAAGAGTGAGTGTTAGGAATCCAAAGATCCGACACCACACTTGGCAGGGGAGATTGGGTAACCGGTAACAAAAGATGGTCGTGAATATTTTCCCAGATTTGGCACCAAGGAGAGGACCAAATAGAACTGTTACCAGCATGAAGCTGATAGATAGAGTTTTGGGTCAGATCCTTTTTGACCCGAAGAATAGAAGACCAGAAGACAGATCCCGGGCCATCAGCTTTTGCCGTCCAAAAAGAGGTATTGTAGAAATATTTAGCCTTGAGGATGCTGGTGAGAAAGGTATTTTTGTTCGTGGCAATGTTCCAAGCCGCATGGGTGATAAGGCTTTTGTTAACAGTATAGAGGTCACGGATACCTAGCCCGCCGTTCCCCTTAGGTTGGCAAATGTCTTCCCAGGAACGGAAAGCAATAGGATTTGAGGGATTGTCGTCCTGGACACCAGCCCACTAGAACCTACGAATGATAGCGTTGATTTTCTCCACGAAGGTCTTAGAGAAGAGAACCGTGGACATATAATAAACAGGAATGGAGGCAAGGACAGATTTAATATAAGTGAGTCTACCAGCATGATTAAGTTTGTTAGCCTTGACAGTAGTAAGTTTAGCCCGGAATTTATTGATGATGAAATCATAGGCTTTGTTTCTATCCCTGTGATTGAAAATCATAGGATGGCCAAGGTGCATGGTATTTGGCAAAAGATAAGGAACAGGAAAGATCTCTTTAATATGAGATTTGGTGTGACTGTCAATATTTTTGCTGAAGAGGAAATACGATTTCTGGAAATTAGGAACCTGGCCCGAGAGATGTGAAAACTCCTGAAAAATACGCTTGATCGTCGCCGCCTCATCAACAGAGGCACGGCCACAGAGAATTAAGTCATCAGCAAAAAGGAGAGAGTGGACGGGCGGGCAATCAGGACCAAGAGTGATTCCCGAGAGATTTTTATTCTGGATCTCAGTCTGCAACTGAATGGATAGCTCATTAATAGCAATTACGAAAAGGTACGGCGACAGATGACAACCTTGGCGTATCCCACGCTGAGAACAAAAGGTGGCAGAGGGTTCGCCATTAACCAAGACAGAGAAAGTCGGAGTAGAAATGCAAGCATGGATGAGGCGGATGAAGTTCCCATGAAACCCCTGGCGACGAAGAGCAGCCTCGATAAAATTCCATTCAAGACGGTCAAAGGCCTTAGCAAGGTCTAATTTGAGAATGAAGGCCTTATGATTCCAGGTTTGTAAATTGAATGAGTGGATAATTTCTTGGGTGATAATGATATTAGAAGAGATGTGCCTATTTTTAATGAAGGCAGCCTGCGCCACATTGATGGAGTGAGGGAGATGAGATTTTAGCCTATCAGCTAAAGATTTGGCTATGATTTTGTAAATTACATTACAAAGACTAATTGGTCTGAAATCCTGAGGAATCAGGGCCTGGTCTTTTTTGGGAATGAGCGTAATAAAAGTATGGTTGATTTGGTCAGGTAGTTGAGCAAAGGAGAAGAATTCAGTTACCAGTTTGTGGACGTCTTGCTGTACCCAAGGCCACGCCGTCTTGTAAAATGCCGCGTTGAGTCCATCCGGTCCCAGAGTAGCATTGTTCCGCATCTGTTTAATAATGGAATGCAATTCCCGTAAATTTGGTACAGAGTTAGTATTAGGGATCAGTGAACGGCAAATTTACAGTAGGTTCTGCCAAGATCCCTGCATTGTCGTCATTAGTAGTGGCTGGCTGCAGTTGCATCTCCTGAAGATGGCTGTGCGAATTCTGGGTGGTAAAGATGGTTTGGAAATAAGTAGTAAGGGTGTGGGCAAGCTGTTCAGGAGTGGTGGAGTGAGAGCCGTCAGGATTCTGCAGGTGGGTAATACGGTTCTTTCTATTTCTTTTGATAATGGAGTGGTGGAAAAAGGTGGTGTTCCGATCACCTTTGACAGCCCATTCTTTTTTGGCTCGCTGGATATGGTAGGTTTCATCTTTATTAGCAAGGAGTTCATGGTGCTGCTGGGTAAGATGGTTTTGCACTGAGTAATCTTGAAGGTTGGGAGGCTTG